GTACAACTCAAATTAGGATCAAAAAAGAGTGATAAAAAGTTAGTGTCACTTTGAATGCAAGCAGTACTTGTAACAAGATAGATGAGCTGACAGCACAAATAGAAATAAATGAACATGACTCTACAGCTATTACAGAGACATGGTTACAATGTGACTGTATCTGAAAACTTAAGGGTATTCAACATTGTAGAAGTATAGGCAAAAAGGGAAAGGAGGTGGATTGGCTTTGTTAAATAAAAGATGGTCTCAGGGCAGTGGTGAATAGTGATGTAGGTCCAATAGATCACAATGTGGAATCAGAGGGGTGGAAATAAGGAATAGCAGGGAAGAAAGTCATGGGTGGAAGTTGTTTATAAGCCCCTAAAGAGTTGCTTCTCTTTTGGATAGAATAGAAATTGGGAAATAATGGAGATGTGTAAGGAGGGCAATACAATTGTCACGTGAGAGTTTAATCTGCATATTGACTGGACAAATCAGATGAGCAAGGGTAACATGGATGATGAATTTCTAGAGTACATCAGCAATTTTTTTTTTAGAGCAATGCATTACAGAACCTACCTGGCAACCTACCTAGATCTAGGAATGTGTAAGAAGGTAGGATTGATACGAGATCTCAGTTAATAATCCTCTAAGGATAGTGATCACAGCACAGTAGAATTTCAAATTGAATCAAGTCTCAAACCAATGTCCTCAACTTAAATAAATGCAATTACAGAGATCAGAAAAAAAAAGGTGTGCCTGAAGGGAGCTGGGAAAATAGACTAGAGGGAAAGTCAGTGGATGAGCAGTGTAAGATATTTGCTGGAAATTGAGGACCATTTAAACCTGTGTTAACTCAGTATTCCATATTCAGTATTTTCTGTCCAGCATAATTAAATGTGCTACAGAAATAACTGGCCTATCACAAGCATAAATAAAAGATTTATCAGATGCTACACTACCCTACTATGAGTACAACGTTTTCAGAAATAGGAAGGTTTTGTTCTTAGAAGGAATGAAAATGAACCTTCAAATGGAGGTGAAGGGGACACTGGTCATCTTGGAATTACAAATGTGCTCGTGGTTGTATTGCCCCCTTGTATTCTTTAATATTAAATTCAGCCATCATAGCTGCTAATGGGGACTATTAGCAGCTGACAATGGGTTGTATATGGTAGCAGCGCGTGTAATAGCAAGGCTTGGTGTGGGGGTGGGGGAAAGCACAGAGAAAGGTTCTCAAGCCCTAAAATTGTTGAACTTGATATTGAGTCCGGAGGGCTGTAGGGTCCCCAAGCGGAAAATGAGGTGCTGTTCTTCCAGCTTGCACTGAGCTTCGCTGGAGCACTGCAGCAAGCCTGAGATGGAGACGTTGGCCAGGGAACAGGGTGGTGCGTTGAAGTGGCAGGGAACTGGAAGCTCCGGGTCTTTTTTGCGGACAGAATAAAGAAGATCTGCGAAATGGTCACCCAGTCTACGCTTCATTTCCTCAATGAAGAGGAGACCACATTGTGAGCAGCAAACTGTCCCCATTAGCAGCTATTCATTCTCCCAGACTGACCTTAAACCACTCCATTGTCTGTTCTATTGTCTTTCTCTCTCTCTGTGGGCTCTATCTTCACCTATCCTTTACTCTCTGCCCTCTCCATCTTCTGTAAACCATCCTTTTCCCAACTACCATCAGTTCTGAAGCAGGGTCACTGGACCTGAAACGTTAACTCTGATTTCTCTCTACAGATGCTGCCAGGCCTGCTGAGCTTTCCCAGCAACTTCTGTGTTTGACACAGTTAGGGAAGATGCGTTTATGGCCTTTTCCAGAATTAATTGTACATTTGTCATTTATGTTTCCAGACACCTGTATTATTCTTTATTACAATCAATTAAAGTCCACCGATTTATCCTCTTATTTCGCTTCTTTGCTGTGATGCATGGTTTTAGCTGTGCACACTTCATTATTTGCTGTATTAAATTTGTAAGCACATAACCCATTGATGATGTCCATCACTAAGCTTCATGAATTCAGTTGTGTAGAATGGCCTCATACTTTACTTTCTTCCATTGCTCATCACTGGAGCTTAGCATGGTTTCAGTTGAAGTACTTGCAATGGTGCGTTTAAAATTGAAAAGGATTTGAAATGGTTAAAGTAACTTACTCATACACCATTATCTATCAATCTTTATAAAGTTATGTGTTTTACAGGACCACAGTTGTTAGATGGAGAAAAATATGAAACCTATTTGAAAGGTGATGTACATCTACATTTGTTTTTGCTTTGGTTTGCACTGTACGGTTCCTGTGAATCTCTACAATGTAGAATTGTAAAACCTTCAGGCACAGTTTTATTTCACATTAGGGTTGGATCTTAGAAAACGAAATGCGCCTTGGGTGAACTTGGATTTTGGTGTCCACATTCAGGAAGCAGTACTTACATTTTTGGAAACAAAATACTTCGTTGAACCAGCTTGAGCTCCAGCCTTGGTAACTATCTCTCCACCTGGTAAATTTTGGATTGCCTTCAGTGCTCTGTCATGTTTGTGTCCCCAAAGTGATATTACCAGCTCACTTTATTTATTCAAAAATATACTTTATTCATAAAATATCTCTGTATATACACATTGACACAAAAGCAGTTTGGTTCTGCACTGTTCTACATCAAGTAAACATACAAAATATTGGAGTTCGACTATCCACAAAAGCAAAGACCCAGCTGCTCACATGGCAATTAGATAGTCTGCGATTAGCATCAAGCCTACCCCCAGTCACCATTCAGGCAACTGCTTTTGCTCATGATGTGCAACTGACTATGTCAGCTTGGCGATGCCAATCACAAGGTCAACCATATTCATAAGCACTTTCACATCATGGTGCAGAACCTCTGGAAAGTGACTTCAGTTTGAGGACTATTGGTTTGGCAGACACCTTAATCCAGGGTGATTTACACTACGTCCCAGGGGATTGATTGGGATGATGGTGACTTTACATTTTTAGACTACATATCCTAAGCTGTAAACTACTTCGACCTGTCCCAAAATATTCAAAATCCTGAATGACCTACTCCTGCACCTGTTTTCTATGTTTCTATGAAACATGAGAAGTTAAATGCTAGGGTTACTCATGTATTTCATGAACCAGGGATACTGCAGGCTCAGTGTATCATCAAGTAACTTCTCATGGAAAATACTGCTATATAGTCACCCTTACAAAATATTTAATTCCAGTTATGGAGAGCTTTAGATAACAATTATCCTGTATACTCAATAATGCATCAAACTAGAGTTCTTTGAGAAGGTGACCAAACAGGTGGATGAGGGTAAAGCGGTTGATGTGGTGTATATGGATTTCAGTAAAGCGTTTGATAAGGTTCCCCATGGTAGGCTATTGCAGAAAATACGGAGGCATGGGATTGAGGGTGATTTAGCAGTTTGGATCAGAAATTGGCTAGCTGTAAGAAGACAGAGGGTGGTGGTTGATGGGAAATGTTCATCCTGGAGTTCAGTTACTAGTGGTGTACCTCAA